TCCGATTCTTTAGCAAGAAGAGCTTTGATTTCTGCATCATAATCGTTCCATTCCGAGACGATTCGCGTCGCTGAGTCCAATTTTGGTTCCTTCGTTTGTGGATTATTACACTGAAATAACGAATATCAGTTGTACTGAGTATCATGTTCACTTTGATTTTTTTTTGTTTTCAAATGTGCTGACAAACATGGTACAACAAAGTAAGGCCTTGCCCAGTTGCCCTTCGATTCCATGTGATAAGCAAATGACTCGAGTTCCCCCATCCGTGATAATGTAATGATGTGATTAGAAATGAAATGGTGACTGTTTTTCTGTGCGAGAATATTGTGCGATGCAGCTTGGAACTGCTGTCGCTCCCTTGACGTTATGAGAATAGTACGAAGGCTGTTAATGGAAAAGAGGGTTCCATTCTCAGGTTCTAAACAAATAAACACGGATTTGGCAATCACAAGTGCAATGATGGCAAGAGAGGGCATCAAAGCAATACAGCATGGACAGAAAACCAAAAACCAACCAAATCAATTGTTTTTGCATTCGCTTTTGAAGCATCATCGCACCATGTCTCACACCATAGCCATTCCTGAGGTAACGATTTGATACGCACCTGATGGATCATATTGTTTGGTAAATCCTGAAAAACGATGTGAGTAAGAACCTCATCTTAACATATTCTCATAAGCGAAACTTAATGGACTGAAACATTCCAATTCAGTTTTTACTTTCAATTATTACTTTCTTTCCTTTTAGTTATAACCTATTCCATAATTCCATAAAATATTTAAACTGCCATCTTTTTTCTTCCTCAACTGCAAACGCCTGCTTTTCTTGTCCTCTCAAAACTTCACTTATCACTCCTTGTTCTCTACCGATACCTAAGCCCCACTAATGATCAAGCTCTTGCTTTCCTTGGTTAATTATTTCATCGCCTAATCTCTAATCTCATCTTTCGCTACTACAACATCTTATACGAAAAAACAGTTGAGATGCAGGGCACCTCAGTGTGGTCTAGAACCGATAATGCTTTCAGACGAGGCGGTGATGTTCAACTGAATCTCTAAGTGGCTAAAGTTTTGCCAAATGCTTGTCAGGAGTGCCACGAGCCAAGAACTCTTTCAGAAAACAATATCGGAATGGCAAAAATGATGGTTACCGAGGAATGCGGCATTGGTCAAAATAATTACGAAACGGAGAAGAAAAAGGCACAGATGCCGGCTATATCATTGGGGAGTGTACTAAATATGAGTGTATACGAGTACACCACACATGCACACACGCACGTACACACACACATATATACATACACACACGCAAGCATATATACATATACCAAAGGTGAGTCAGTAGCCATTTCAAGTATCAAGTATGAGAAAAATGAGCTGAACTGGACGAAGGAAATACCTGGTCCAAATTTGCAAGACTGTTCGGGTCAGCACTAAGACCCTGATATTGGCCACGTAAACGATCACCAGCTGCCACTTGACGGAATTTCACCAAATCTATTACGTAGAGAGCACTGAAAATGAGCAGAAAACATGTAAATTTGACTTAATTGACATTAATTTTTGAGAAATAAAGTTAAGGAAAACCAATTTTTTCAGAATACGAAGAGAAAGAAATGAGAAAAAAAACAGTTTTCAAATTAACTGCAATCATTTATCTCGTGATTTTTATTCCACCTCTTATAATGTAATAAAAAAGTGGCTACTGGCTACCTTTATTGCAATTTGAATTAGTTACCAGCGCAAGGGACAGGATGGTCCTCGGCTGTAAATGGAAGTACTTAAACCATCACAAAAACCCGTTTTTGGATGTCGGAGATTAATGGGGCTGTTGATGTTATGAGTGGATGGACATCTCGGGGTTATGCGAGTGTCCGATCAGCAATCTTTGTTTGCGATACCCCAGTTTTGTATGGGCCTTGTTTGTTACTCCGTAGATCAGCTTCTGTGATTGGAGAGTTGTGTCTTCCATTTATTATATAAGCAAGCCTCAGCTCGGTATAAATCAGTTCAGCGCCAGTTTTCATCTCAACGTCGATCTGGCAACGCATCTCATTTCCCCTCGGTCCTGCAACACACATCCTCATACACCTCACATCACGCACGCACGCACTCACGCACACACTTTGAGAAGCAAACGTTAAGACCGCAGTACATGGATAGCAAAGTGATGCAAAGCAACTGAAACAGCTATCAGTTCCACAGCTGCAAGCCAAACTATGAAGAAGTATAATTATTTTAAATTTTCCAAATAATAATTCTTGTCCCTGCCATTAATATAATTATCATTATTTATCATCACTATTACGAAAATCATTATACCAATACTATTATTTTTATTACAATTACTATTTTCACCACTATCACTATGCCCATTGTTTTGATCAAAATTGAAAAATATTTAAAAAAAGTCAAGAAAACAATTAGGAAATATTCCTGAAACCGAAATGCAGAATTCTCTAAATGGTGAAGAATAAAAAAAAAATATACCTAATATGATATTTACGACCAGCAAGATGATTTGCCCAGTAGCCTTTTTTCCAGAATCTGAAACCATCCATCGACGATCTACTGTCACAGAACGGTGTGAAACCATATGGAGCACCACCAAGATCCAATTCCATCAGCTCCATAAGATCGGTACGAACGATGAGATCCGCATCGACGAATATAATTTTTCGGACATCCAATGGGAACAGTACATCCAGGAACAAAATTTTGTATCTGCAAAATCGTTTATTAAAATAACTGCGTTTACTCCTCTGAGACGGGCCACAGAGAAAGATTTTCCAATGTAGCTTAAGGTATTCGTGAATAGAGATTCGATACTTTTAGAAATTCCTATTCGATTAATTCCTAACATTCCCCCCCCCCCTCTCCGTTCAAGTGATGATGACTGTACTGAAGAGCTCTCCGCTTTATCTACGCAGCCTTACCTCTTCGCTTTCAGCTTTACCTAAGCATCAGCCTTTGAGAAGTTCCCTACGCAACTCACTATTACAAGTAAATTAACTGAAAAGCCACATAAGTAATCATGATAACATGACGCGTCCAGCATTTCTTTATCTCGAAAACAGACGAAGGGAAGCTTGGATCACGAGATGACTGACATCAGGTGACACATCCTCATTTACGGCGACCAAAAAAAAAGTTCGCTAGCAGCGCTGCTAAGGTATAGATGCGCTTCGATGTAGCGATAGATAAGTGAAGTACGAGGGCAATTCCAGTTTCAACATGAGTACGAAAGTGCGGGGCGGGAGGGAGGGAAAGGGGGAACGAAGGAGGCGGGGGAAACGAGAGGAGGCGGGAGGGG